TTTATATGTACACTTATATCTTTTAATAGAAATTAAAAAAAAAATTAAGATGAGTGACTAGTTTACTCATTTTTGTACTTGCTGTTTATTTCTTCAATTAGGAAAAGAAAGAAAATAAATAAGAATTCTAGACATTCTCTTACCCCCATTGCTGGTTACATTAACTCTCGCTATTGAGTATAGTATATATCACTAATTAAATTATTATTGCGAATCTCTTATACATCTAGAGTATGTTTGACACACAATTTAAGAAGATACAACAATACAATGAACAAAAGTGTTAACTGTTTGATTCATTCGATCAAAAGTTCCAATGGTACATATCGTAAGCAAAGTTCCAAGGATGAAAAAATTACTCAGCCAGTAGGAGTGGATTTGGTAGTGGGCTGCACTTAGCTGTAGCACACGGTTGCCCAAGCCATATACACTAAAAATGAAAAATTTAGGTTTTAATTGTAATCTATTAGCCCATCAACAAGTAATTTCAATAGGCTAGCCCACCTCAATTCCTCAAATGATTTTTTGTTTTAATCTTTGGCCCACTTATTTATTTAATTTTAGGCCCAATTTTTTTAACACAAATTTATTTAATTTTAATCAATACCCATTTTTTCTATTTTTCTTCACGTCATTTGCAAAACCAAATTGAAATAATTCCCAAAATCTTACCCATTTTTTCTATTTTTCTTCACGTCATTTGCAAAACCAAATTGAAATAATTCCCAAAATCTTTAAACCCTACATCTTTCACCCACCCAGAGCCACCGACTACTGACCACCAACCACCGACTGCACCTATTGTAAATTGTAAGTATTTTCATATTTAGCAACAAAGAAATTGAACCAGTTGAGGAGGTTCTCTTTGGATGAAAAATCACATTTCATAGCAAATAGTAAATTAGTTTAAAGATTCTAACTCACCGCCTACAGCCTATTGGTAATTATGCATTCACATGTATTATTTTGGGAAATAATAATATTGTGCAAAACAAACCACGGGCCTTAGAAAATGTTAGCTTACTGTCTACTGGGAAACTGGAAATGTTAGCTCACTGCCTACTTGGATGATAGTTTTCTTGCTGATTGTTTAACACTAAACATTGAACGAGAGTTAATATGAATTTAGATTTAGATTCTATTATAAATTAATTTTATCCGTAAAACATTGCCGGGTACAACCATAATAGGTAACGTTCTATTATGAATTTTTCTTGTTATTTAAATTTAAATTTTTTTTTGTCTGTATCATTAATTCCTGACTTCGCCCCTATTTGCCATGTTCTAATCCGCATTGCTACGGCTCGTTTAGTAACCCTGGAGGGGAACAGGAGCATAGTCCCAAACTCGTCCCAAATATTTATTTTTGTTTTATTTATTTTATGTTTTACAATTTGAATTGTATTTTCAAAATAAAAAAATTGAATAAAAAAATATACGGCATGAAAAGAATTGATTTTTTTAATCTCGCCCCGCTCCGACTTCTGAAAATCCTTGATAGGATGGGGATAAGAATAGCTTCCCTGGCCCATTGCCATCCTCAGCACACATCTGAAAATCATTGATAGGATGGGGATAAGAAAAGGGGGAAAAAATGTTACGACCAAAGCACAAACATGTAATACAAATCAAAACTCTTGTGTTTGTTTCTCAATTTTGTACATCATCTTAAAAAAAATTGACTATTAAAATATATGGTTGATTAAACATGTTGTTCACAAGTGATTTCAATGTAAGAGATATGACGTGTTCATGTGATAGAACACGAATTTGATCACAAAAAACGATATTCAACTAGTTTATTAGTCAATCCAAAAAATTAACAAAGAAAGAATTCCAATACAAATTTCAATTAAGACGCTACTTCTCTTATCAGTATATTCGTTCATCTCTAAAGAGGATGCAACTTTTCTCATTCTCTTTTTCAAAGGACACTTTTCCATATGATATTTTATTTTGAGATTGATTCCAATAGAATTAAAAGACCTTTCTTATAAAGCACTCTTTTTATGTTTGGTGTAGGTTCCCCCCCCGTCAGCAGCCCCTAAATTTTGATTATCCCAGAACCATAGATGACAGTTCAATTATTAGCTTACTGAACTAGACATTGTATTGTTCTACATAGGATTCTTGATTCAGTTCAAAATGTCAGAAACTGTTAAACATTGTGTTTTGATTTAGTTTCATTTTGCTTTTTACTTGTGGAGTTGACTAAGTTGATGAACAATCAGCCATGCTACATGTACACTAGTGTACGGCCCCCTCACATGCGAGGGGGCACACGAATTTTTTAATCAATGTGGATCCTCTCTCGTGTGAGAGGGGTGTACACTAGTGTACAATAAGCATTTTTCACGAACAATTTACGCACCAACTGTTATTATTTGCAAGAGATTTACTGCTGCATGCGTGTTCTATTTGTGATTTTATAGTTCCGTTGGTTAGTCTTGTGAATGTTATTTAGCCCCCGTTTGTTTCTCATTTTTGGAGAATGAGAATGAAAAATATAGTCGTTACAAGCTCCACATAAGATATAAAATTTCAAATTTGGTGGCTTGATGTAATGGATAACAATCATATTTTTCATTTTAATGAAGAAATAATGGGAACCAAACAGGGGCTTAATGTGTTCATTAGTGACTTGTTTGGTAAGGTAGACTGGACGATATTGGGAGTTCTAAAAGAAGAAACGGGGGCTAAGTTAAATAATTTTGTCTATTGTATTGTATAAATACACCTACGATCTAACCAGTTGAGAAGGAGTAATTTATGCAATTGACAACCACCCAATGGCCCTTTAATATGATTACAAGATGGAGCTATACTTGAGATTTTTGTTTATTCTTGAAAATTAAAACAAAATCTAAAGCACATCACATGGAGCCAAATAATGTATTGTGAATAATTCAGTGCCAGCTTGATATCATATTAAATTATATTTATGTTTTCTTCATCTCATATAACTATAAATTAATGGATAATACGGGATTTGTTTATTAATTGTACACAACTAAAGATGGGACAGAGACTTTGTTAATCTGGATGTGAACTGTCAAACAATGAATGAAGCCCTTCATCTGAAACAAAATCCATTTAATTTTATCATATGATGTTATCAAAACTATTAATTTCTCTCTACAAAGACTACAGAGTGATGTATTTGAAACAAGATGAACCTCAAATCATTGCATGATAAGAAATTATGGCTACCGTAACACCATTCTTGAAGGTTTCTATTTTTATTTTTCTGGAACGAAGAAGTATCGCTCTTTGTACCTATCCTATATAAAAATAATTTCAAAAAAAATCGAATTTCTTTATTTTTAAGGACGAGGTAGACTTTCCACGCTAAATGGAGTAGCATGATCAAGCGACTTGCTACACATCAGGAGGAATCAAACCGTTTGGCTACTCGTTCAGTTGAGAAAAAGGTGTTTATCTTTTTATTATATCAAAGCATATTGCCAATCAGTGCACAATTGATCCCATCTGTTCGAATAATTGTTAATTAAAAAACCAAAAATCGTGCCTGTCTTGTAGGTGGGTGGTGCACTTCTTATTTATTTAACAATTTTTCTACTTGTACAGAAGCAGAAGTGCCAGAATTTCACCAAATGCTGACGTGGGAGCATCTAGTTGATCTGTATTTTTTTTTTTTTTTTGTCATTCTTTAACTGGATGCTGTCACGTGTACTTTGTGAAAATCAAGAGAAATTCTGAACACATAGCAGTGCTGCTGGATTATCACACTATCCTTAAAAAAATCATTTAATTCATACTGCTGCTCTAATTTCTAATTATAATTAGGAACCCTATCTCGCCCTTTAAAACACTTTCACATACTTCATAAATTTACACAATTAGAACAACCGGTTCAAGTCTACTTGATTTTCTTTTTATGAACTTATAGATTTCGTGACTATTTCAAAGATTTTGAATATTCTTATCTTTTGTATAATCTAAGATTCTAAATCGTATCATCAGTCATCACTTTTTTAATTGAGCTTTTGATGTACTCTAAAATCGACTATATGGCATGAGTTGATGAAAATGATTAAGATTTGGTAGTGTAAAACATTATTTTTCAATTCAAATTTACTCAATTTTGAGGGATAATCGAGTTCCCGAACACCTCTCATGCTAAAAGTTTGATAAATATGTTGCACTCCATGAAGATAAGTTTCAAAATACAGAGAAAATGAAGTGTTCTTTCCACTCTACCACCGTATTAAACTTGTTCTCATGAAGTAGTCGGAGTTCTCATCGATATCAAACCCTCAAGGCCATGGAAATTACGACATATTTATATCTCAAGGATAATCAACAGCTTATGATTGGATTGGATAATTTACATGTAGTACTCCCAGCCACCCACGCACCCCAACAAAAGAACCCACATCACTCAAAGTTGAAGATTACGATTATTTACAGAGTGGGGACACGCCGGATATCCTTTCATCAATATCCACGTCTCGTACTATGAAAATCTGCAATTTGTTATCGGATTTTTGCATTTTTTTTTCTGTTTTTTTCTCAAGCCAAGCCTTTTTAGATATTTCATTACCAGTGTCTTTTTCAGGTCATTATTCCAATTTTATGCTACTTCATAATTTCTCGCAAAAACCATTGGCCTTTCTCAAGCTAGGATAGGTGGAATTTATTACTTTTCAAGATACTGAGACAATTCATTTACTTCAATCGATGTTGTCATTGTTTGAATCATTCAAACAATGTGAAAAATCCTAACGTGCAAACAATGTCCTACATATATCACACCTCGCATTTCCCTCCTCGCCGAGTTGAATTTTGCACTCCGATCGGGATTCTATTCTATATAAATGTTGTAGTACTAAAATTTTTTATTAAACTCTACAATGGTATGATTAATAAGTGAATGTTAAATCTTATGCACTGCGTTCCAGAATAAGATTCCAAACTCAACAATGGCAACTAAACATGACTACAAAATACACAGAGTGCTTGTTAGAACTTCACGAGTCTTAAATAAATGCAGCTCCACTTTATATTTGTTCCACAGGATACAAATATTGAAGCAACATCACATAGCAGTAGAATTGTTAGGTTTCCTCTGCAAGATTTCAGAATATCAAGGTTAAAATGTCTGCAGAAAACAACAGCATTTACAAATAGGACTCGACTCTACACAAGGTTATACCAGGAAACGAGAGAACAAAGTTTATATGTGGGAGACCATAGGGAATAAACAAGATAAACACAACACCATATTAAGCAGACTCTGGACAGTAAATCATCATCTCTGACTTCTTGAAGACATCATAGGACCATGATTCTTGGCTTGCCAGCATTGTTCTCCTTCGCTGAACAATCAAGAGTTAACAAATTGGTTGCTTCAGACACAGACATACCAACTTGGACAACAATTTACCTGTAGATTTCTCGTACTTTCAATGACTTATTTCAACAACCGTTATAGCATTATTGCTGCCCAAAGTGACATCATGGTCGATAACAGTCACTGGTAGCCCGGGGGCGGAGTTGCATCAATATTGGCCAACAAAAGGCGACATTGATGGAATTAGACTCCTTAACAACAGAATCTACATAAAGCAAGGACTCATTCTAATGGACACAAACCGAGGTCCTCATGGAGAAAACAAGAATGTAAATACTAAATAGAACTCAACCTAGAGCATTGGCAACATCTATGAACACAAATGTTAACATGATACGACAACTAAATTCGAATACTAGATAGATTCCCCATGGACATTTAGCTCAGGAGTAAAATTGACAAAAAAAAATGCGGAGCTTCTAGAAAAATTTCAAAAATTTCTCCATATTTAATCGTCACCAGTTGGAAACAGGGTGAGAATTTTCCTTCCATCTGTGGCAGTGGCTGACTCCAAATCCTCCACATATGGCAGTGGCACCACAGCAGAACCGTTTCTACTGTGCACCGGCGTACCCATCCTTTGCACCTGCTCCTGTGACTGCCTCATAAGGGGATGCTCGAACTGCCCATTTGGTGGTGAAGTTCCAAAATACCTAGATTGCTGCTGCAGCTGATGGTGGTGCGCACCCGGGCCCACCACCGCCATCTGATGATGATTCTGCATTGCTGTGACAGGTAAGAATGGGAGAAAATGGTCGGAATTTGCCCTGCTTGGATGCAGGAAATGTGCTGGCACCGGCGAGCTGGCGAATAAATGGTCCGTGGCAGGGTCTACACCCACGGCAGCCAGTGCTGCTGGAGAATTATTGCCACCTACACCGCCACCGTTACTCGACATTCCCTGCATCCTCTTCAAATAAAGCCTGTACTTCTGCAAATGACTAGCAACGTTTTCTCTAGTGAGTCCATCCACACTCATGAGCTGCATTATGGTCTTGGGGACAGCATTCTTGATTCCCAAATGGGCCACAGCGTCCACAAACCTTTTATGCAACTGCGGCGTCCACACGAGCCGTGGCCGCTTCAAAGTCCGTGCCGGCTCGTCTCCAGCCCCGGATCCTCCGCCACTGCCGCCCTCTCCTCCGCCACCCAACTCAGCCGAGTCAAATTCTGCCGAGGAGTTAGCGGTAGATTGAGGCGGTGGCACCGCCGCCGTCGCAATTTGATGTGGATTTCTAATATCGAAGGCCAGCGCTAGATCAGTCGTAATTAAAGATTGGGATAGGGGAATCAACTCATCTGGAGCTGGCAATTCATCTTCCCATTTAGCAAACCAATTCGAGTCCACTTCCCTCATTATCCCCGTCTTCCCTTGAATAAATTCCTTGAGATGAACAGTATATGTATAACAAGAAATTGTAACGGGTCAACTTTTTTTCCCTCTGATCTTGGAGCTAAGATTAAATTTAAAAACCCAATTTGGAAGGGAAAACGAGGGAGCGTGAAATTAGGGGATGGAACTAGAAAGGGTTTTCATATTTCCATTTCTTCGTATAAAAAATGGTGAAAGTATTAAACTTTTGGAGGGGTGGAGTGGGAGGAGTGATCGAGGTGGATCCTGTTTTCAGCTTTTATTTATGGTATCCGTTGCTCTGTGCTGGGATGATTAATAATCTGTGTCTTCTGAGCTTTTCCTTTTCCATTCTTGAGAGTGAGGGTCACTCCTAGAAAAGATTCTAGGATTTTGGTTGGGTTACTTTTGTGGTGAAAACATGTTGAATATGACTCAACACATAATAAAAAATATTTTTAAGTGCATCCTGTACACACACACATCAAAAAAAAAGAAAGAAAAAAGAAAGAAAAAAGAGGATACAAGCTAAATTTCTAATTAGTTAAAAAACATTTGTAATGTAAAAAACCTATTTATGCTATTTATTTTCAGATTTGACCATTTAGAATTTGTAGATAAGTAAATTAAGCTTAGCCAAACAGAGGGTTGTTGGGCAACCATGTGACATAATGTTACTGAGATTAGGGAAAATGTAGTAATATCTCTTGACTTATAGGAAAAGGAAAGTAAAAAAGCAAACTGAAGGAAAAGTGTAGAGAAATTGCTAAGTACGGAAATGATTCAAATGAATTGCCAAGGTATGGATTAATTGTACAATAAAATTCTTCTTCTTTTGCCACACATTTTTAATCCATTGATCAAAGAATCCCCAAAAAATTCACTATGCAACTGTAAGAAATTTAGCCGGTGGTAGGAGTGCAACAGCTCCTCGCTCCTCGCTTGAGTATTTTCTGTAGATCGTCTTGAGATTGTGTTCTGCAGCCACCGAATGGAAGCTAACGAGCAGCTTAGCGCAATTCCTGTTCCATGAAAACAAACATGATTCTAAGATGTGTACACACGACCGGTGCGGGGTGGGGGTGGGGGGCTTATATAATCAATATGACTTACGTAAGTTGCAACTCTGAGAAACCCGTGTGCAGTTTAAGAGTCTCGTTCCAGAAGGGCGCCTTGTTTAGGGTGCAGCGAGCAGCATAGACTGCTGAGGCAGCAATCATTGAAGGACAGTACATGAGAGTCACGTAGTTCATCATTCCCAGCTCAGCCAAGAAATAGACTGCGTTCTCCACCTACCACACAAGATCATCCAGTTATACGTAATCAAGTTGGAAAAGAAATACAAGCAACTTTAATCCTAGTCGGAAAACTTCTTACATCGGAATCAGTCAAAGAAGCCTTGATAAAGCGCACGAGGAACACATATAATGTGGGAACGGTTAAGTTCCATTCCAATTCACCAAGAATTCGTTTTTCCATAGCCAATACTTGCTCATTAGAATAAGCTCTGTCTGAGATGCACACTAAATCGTTAACCTGCAAAAAATACAATCATATTTAAACTCGTGATGCTTAGATACTTGCTCATTACAATGAATATCTACCTCAGGAGCCCAAATTTCTTCATATTTAGAGGCTATAAGCATAGCACTTATGCCCAACAACTGCAGTTCCTTCCTTAATGTAGTCTTCGTTGCTAGATACCGATCAACAATGTTGATTGTCAAGTAAAGAGTTTCTGGTGAGAGCTCGAATTTGTGGTGTACTTGGATCAACCAATCAATCAGAATTGCTCTCATTTTTTCGTTTATCTCAGGTTGTGAATCAATGTAATAGTTAACTCGGCTCTCATTCTGTATGAGAAATTTTCTTTCATTAGAATTGGGACATAAATAAAGTTATGGAGAAAATAGAAATAAGAAAAAGCAGGATACCTCAACAGACTTGTAGTACTTGTATATTTCTTCGACATATTCGACAGCTGCCAAATCATTATTCACATCTGCAGCATCAATATCGACTATTTGCTCCTTCGGTTTTTTGCTCAGGCCACAAGCAGCCTGCGCACACAATCATAAAATTAAGGTCGTCTATATGAATTAAAATAGAAGACAAAGCAGTTGCAAAATTGTAAGTAAAATTCAAAAGCAACCTACCTTGCTTCGTGCGGTGAGCGTTGAAGTCAGAGTTGGAGCTTTTTTCTTCGATGACCCTTCTCCGGCCTTTTCTTGTTTCACCGGCTCGTCTTTCTTAAGAACTTCTGCAGTATCATGACTAATGTTGATAATGTCATCCGTTTTTTTTGGTTTGACAGTTGCTTTCTTCTGAGCTTCGTCTTTCTCAACAATTTCTTCTGTATCAGGACTAATTTCGACAATCTCCTCGGGCTTTCTTGGTTTGACAATGGCTTTCTTCTGAGCTTCCTTCCTTCCCATAGCTTTCTGGTTAGGTAGAGCTCCATTTGCTATCAAAGCATTCTGTAATCCAAGGAGAGCAGCCATTAATTCTTATTAACTTTTCAAGCACAACATAACAAATAAAAACTACACAAATCAAGAAAGCAATTTCCCAAGACAAACCTTCTTGTTTTCAGCTGCTGCAGCCTGTGCATTAGCAAGCAATTGTGCGCGAAAGCTCCTGTAAAAACAGAAACATAAAATGAAAAACTATTAAACAATATAAGAGACTAACGCATTCATGTTTCATAAAATGCAAGAGAGTGATTTAGAAACCTTGTAACGGGACGGGAGACTTTAGGAACTGGTTTGCCCTCGACGCCAGGAATCGTAACCCGATTCCCGATGTTGGTAAGTGCAGGACGATTCTTTCTTTCTGCTGCCATGTTTTTCTGCTTAACGCCCCCAGGTAATGCCTCGCCTACTAAATTTGTCACAATAAATACAGATCAAATCATCATGAAACAAAACCAATGGGTGAAACCCTAGAGATAAATCACAGCAACTGCAGTTCCACTTATAATTAGAGACTAAAGGAAAATTCAAACTAATGACACAAACACTCGATAAACTTTCACTAAGAATGGGTACTAGATTCTAGTTTTTAGGTGTAAGACTCATCTTAAAACATATAATGACACCTCCGCAACAAATGTGCACAGAGAATAAGAAGACGAGATCAAGAAATCAAAATTTGGGAACGAGTTCATTTAAGACAAAAACTGATTGAAAAAGAAAATAAAATACACATATTAACAAAATTGTATATAGATTATTTCAGATATTTAGAAAAAATAATCAATGAAACAGTAAAAATTAGCGCAATAGATTCAAAAAGAACAAACAAAACCATATAAAAAAATTTGGTAAAAAAACTGTGAAATCATACATAAAAAAAAAATTTGGAAATACATGCTTGAGTGATTGTTTCTACATCCCAAACAGGAAAAAGTAACAAAACAGAAAGGAAAATAAATAGAAAACACGAATCAAAAGGGACACAAAAAAGATCAAGAAAATTACAAATCAAAATAAATAACAAAAATCCCAAAACATCAGAAGCCGAGCCAGAAATATAAAGAATCGGGGGATCATAAATTCCGCATTAGAAATTAAAGATACCATTTGGGTATCCTCCCTCCGATTAGGTTTATTGAATTTATTTTGAATAAATAAAAATACCTCTATTTTCCTGTTGAACAACCAGTCTTGAAGCCATTATCGAGACCTGGAAATGAAAATCTTCTTAAACCCTTTCTTCTGTGCTTCCCCCCCGAAGAATCTCTTGTCTCTCTCTCTATATCTCTCTCCCCTCTCTCGTGAAAAGCACAAGCATTCACTGAAAAAGACACCCCTTTTGAAGGAGGAGATCAAGGCGCTTCAATAAGCAACGGTCCTTTTTTTGTGAAATTACAGCCGTTTGATTAGTTGGAATCAACGGCCTTGATTGTTTTTCTGTATATGGTTATTGCGCTTTGTGTCGCCGCTTTTTAGCCGTTGGGACTGTTAATTCAAACTTCAAATGTTACCGTTGCAAGACTTTTAGGGTAAAATTTTGTCTAATTTTTTTCTTTCATATTGCCAAAGGTATTGTGATCAAAAGTCATTGATCAATGTTTTGAAAACCAAATCGAAACAATTTGGACATTGATTGAAAAACGTAAAGGTTAAGGGTTGAAATGTAATTGAATAGGTTATATCGATGGTAAAAACATATCGGAAACTAAAACACAATTTTGAATTTTTACATATAACTTAATGGAGTCTACTTTACACATTATCGTTATTATCACGTATTGGCAAATTACCAATGAACAAATGTACATCACATTTTGGAAGAATGTTAAACACTTGTACAAAATGTTGTTATTCACTATGACGATTATACTGTAGTTGTCCTGATTGTTCGTATAAGGATTTTGTAATTTTAATCAAAAAATCTCTTAATCCTTAGGAATTTTCATATAGGTATAATTTTAAAACAAACCGTATAAATTAGCTATAACCATATCTGTTAGATGTGTGTCTAATTTTCCAAGCAATTTTGTGCTCCACGTGACACAAAATGACAGAGGAAGATGTTAGAAAATTAAATGCCGAATACAATGTTTACACTGTTGGGAAAAGGAATTAATTGAAAAGAATAGTAACGAATCATATGCTAAACAAGAACAAACCGAAAATAAATAGTAAATGAAAACTGCTGCAATGTTTACACTGTTGGGAAAAGGAATTAACTGAAAAGAATATTAACAAATCATATACTAAACAAGAACAAACTGAAAATAAACAGTAAATGAAAATTGTAGAAATGTATAAACCACTGTATAAAGAGAATAGGTGGAAAGATTTCAACCACGCTATGGTGACCGAAAGCCTTGACAGAATCCTTGACCTGCTGACATGGAAAGTTTCCTTAAATAAAAAAATAAAATAAAATTCAAACGACATCAAATAGAAATGACTTAAAGCAAACAAGACCCGGACCCGGCCAAGTTGTCAAACCTCATATTCACTACCCTTCCCGTTTCTTCCCATTTCTCCCAACACAAATCAATTTCCTCCAAACAAGACCCTCCGACGCCGGACCTGGCACTGATTAACTCACAACCTCCAAAGCCGAAATAAAAAGAAGGCGTTTGTACCGGTCATTGGTCGCTGCACCAGACCTGTCCTCGTCTTTGTCACTGGAAGTAAGTTCAAATATGTGGGTTTTCGAAGGATTGACTGTAGCGTTTAAATTTTGGGGGTTTCATTTTTGTTTTCTCATTTCGTAGCCAGTAGCAGTTGTTGGGTCGAACGAAGATTTTTTCCCTTATTTTCTCCTACGTGGTGTGGTTGTAAACTAGATTAAACACTTGAAATTTGTGCTGCAGACTCCGAAATGATTCTGTGGCTACTTATTTGTATTCTGTAATCCCAAAAGAGCATGAAGTTAGTCACTTTTTGTTTTTTTTTTTTACATGACTTCGAATTGCTGAAGGAATTTCGTTCAGGAATGCTGTGCCCGTAAGTTTACCTTCACAAATTGAAAATAGCTTTGTTTCAGTTTCTATTTTTGAACTCAATAAATGTTGAAATTTTGATTTTTTTTTTCATTATGATGATTGCTGTGTGATATGGATGTCTGGAATATATACAGAAAGCAATAAGATTGCTTAAATGGATGTGAGCTCTTATTCCTAAATTGGTTTTGATGTGTCGTGGTTTATTTTCAGCTTACCATTGCAGGAAAGAACCAGGGAGTATGTCATAGTTGTAGAGGAATGGGGCATTTTTTTGCTGACTGTTCAGAGAAACGTCATTGCCCATGGTGCAAGGATGCATTCGTCAAGTGTTTTGAGGTGGAGAAAGAGAGCAAAAACGAAGGTAGATTATTCAATATGTGTACTGCAAAATGTGGAAATTGGGAGTGGGTCAAAGATGGCGAGACTAGCGGCGAATCAAGTCCAGTCAGAATAACTTCAATGAATTATGTGACGAGCAAAGGAGTTGACGAACTGTCTTGCACATTTCAATCTCAATGTCAACTATTTGATCAACGTGATGTGGACATGTTTCTTAACGTTATAATACACAAAGGAAGAGCAAAAAAATAGTAAATGATTTTCCATTATTTGGAGTGCACTTATGGATGAGTTCATTTGGCTTTGATATCTCTATAACATGCCTCAACAATAGTAAATGATTTTCCATTATTTAATCTGATCCATACTACATTATTTGTTTTCACAAAATCTACAGAAACATATGCCTAACTTCTTGACTTGTATTCCCCTATCAAAACCTCTCTTCTTCCTGACATCTCGATTGTGTGTTATAATTTGAGAAATAAACAAGATTAATAGGAAATATGGGAAAGATGACATTAGCATGTTCATGCAACGACTCACAGAATTGAATTCATAGCTAATAAGAGAAGTCAATAAACAGAAATGATTTAATAGCCAATTAAGCACGTAGCATCCATATCCATGCCTGTGAATACACATCCACTATTTCCTTCAAAATTTAACTACAGAATGTTCCCTTAGTTTTGGTAATTTCAATATGAACTGTTCTTGAACAAAAGGGGAAAAATATGTTGCTCTGCCTTCACAAAATTCATGAGACGCCAATCTGGTGCACAGTGTAAATAAGTAGTGCAGGTTCCTATTTGTTGATTTCCCAGCTACATTCTTCACTTGAGTAACTATAACACATATGGAACATTAGTTGACACAGTTAACAATTAGAATATCTAATAGGTTCAAAAAATTATTTGTATATGTGTATCGGATCTATTTTGTCGCGTCCATATTCTAATATCATGGGTTAGCGCCGTTGTTGTCCAGCACATATGGAACATAGTAGGGTACACCATGACAATTTATTACACAAGCCAAAAATGTAAAGTTACGTAAACTATAGAGTACCCAACCTCATCATTACCTTGACCATCTGGGTGAATGGAAAAAGACGGTTGTAAGTGTTGTGAGAACCCAACGCTCTGGGTCGCACCCTATAAGGAAAAATATAACATGTCAGTCAAATTTATCTACAACAAGGAATTATAATAATGTAATATACTAACCATTACGAGCTGTGAATATGATAACGGTATTGGCATTTCCTAGAGTTGTGATTGTTAGGTTGTCTGAAACACGGTTGCACCAACTCCAGGATTACTTTGGCGTGCCTTGGATTTTTTCCCTTTGGGTGTAATGCCACCCGCCTGCATCACAGATTATCAAAACTTTATTTTCTTTGTATTTGAACACAAGAAGTAAGTTTTGTGGTAAAGGTAATGTAACATACCGTCATTTTATTTGAACTCAATTCCAACGGGGACTTCTTGCGAAATTTTCTAGGAGCACCCTTTCTCTTCACCCCTTTTGGATCCTGAATGCAGCCACTGCCAGTATCTTGTGATGCGATATCATACGACGCTATACGAGTACTATAACTAGACAAGACATTACTCCCACAATTGGACTTGGACGCATCCTTTGGTTTGCACTGAGATTCAATCCAGTCCAATATTGAACTACCTTTTACATCATCATCACAAGTGATGTTTAATGTAGCAAATGCTTTAACCATCTTATCGTACATCAACTGTGCTGGGGTACTAACCAACTCGTCATAGTTCACTGCAACTCTCGTGTAGGATCTGATAACATCTCTCCGCCATCTCCATAAAATGTATTTATCTACCAATAATTTCACTCCATTGCATATCAGTATCGTGATTGCATGCTTGCATAGGATTCCTCAAAACTTTAATAAGTGGCATCTGCAAATAACTTCACATTTGTCACTAGATAATGAGACCAAGATTTTTTTGGGTACAATGATGGTCATGTATAACGTCTTCGTGTACCTCATACATCGTCCCCAAAAATCCCTCGCTAACAGAGATGAGATCGCAATAAACTTTGCCAACGAACTCCTCTTGAACTTCCTTGAACTTCGAAATTATGTATACTGCCTGAAATTGTTTCTCCATTTCATACCTAGTCGGCTAGGTACCATTTGTGAGAACGATTTGAAATCTACTTGAAACTCTTTCTCAACTTTACTTCTCAATGCTCTTTCGTACTGTTTGACGAATTGCTTCAACGAGGTCTTTGAATGAACATACCCATCGAAAAATGTATTAATACTCTCACTTCTTTGAGTTGTTGACATCTCCGACCAGAAAGTAGTCCGCAAAAAGCAAGGAACCCAACGAGATCTATTATCATAAAGACATGATAACCGTTCATTGTCTTGCAAATTATACGTTTCTATCATCGCTAGCCAACCTTCTTCGAATTCTTGAACAAATTGAGAATCATAAACCAATTCGTGTATAACAGAGAATATCGAAGCTTTGTCAAAGTGAAATGCAATTTTTTCAATATGTGTCAAAGACACCACCTATGCTTCTTATCGGGAAACACGATCTGGATTGCGTTCTGCATTGCCCTATCTTAATCAGTAATTATCCCATTAGGAGCTTGGCCGTTCATGCACTGCAGCCATGTTCGAAAAAGCCACACAAATGTATCAGTATCCTTGTTCGATATGAGACCACATCCGAGGAGATTAGTCTGTTTGTGATGGTTCACTCCAACAAAAAGGGCAAACGGCATATCATACTTGTTCGTTAGGTATGTAGTATCGAATGTGACAATATCACCAAATTCCATACATGCCTGCCGACTCCTATTATCTGCCCAAAAAACATTTTTCAGACGTGACTCCTCATCCAAATCAATACTGAAGTAGAACCCTGAGCACTGTGCTTGCATAGTCGAAAAGCATGACTGTATTGTTGTGGTAACAACTTCGCTAAGTCTTAGCCGCCTAACTTGTTCAATATAATTTTGATAGTCATTCTCAATGCAGGTCATGTTTTCATAACTACCTGCTTCCACAATTGTAGAATTGAAACTTTTGTGTGGCGGTATTCCTACAATGTCATTTATTTCAAGACGACGTTTCACCTGCGCACTTAATTCTCTATTGCATCTGTACAATCTGGATTTCGAAGGACTTTTTTTATGGTTGTGGTCCAAGTGTACTGTGTTAATTTGCCATATTCTACGAATATCTGAGCATGTTGTAAGCCTGGCTTTACATCCACTTTGAATGGTAGCGTGTGGCTTCAAAGAAACGCTTGTATTATTGATTTTTTGCCCTTTGCGGCTGCAAACGTAAGTAACATATCGCAAAACTCCATCATTGTCCCTTTTCGAATTTCGTTTTCTCACTAGAAAACCCATGTCATATGCATACCTTTTATAAAAATCAAAAATTTCATTTTCTTCCTTAAACTTCATGTTCACCTCAGGCAGAGGCACAGTCACAATCACACCATCCCCTCCTATTCCGTCATCACCTTGTAATTTTGTACTGTTATGATCACTCTCGTCATCGGACTCCACCAACATAACTGCTTCGACGTCATCCAAAATTTCTTTCCTGTGACAAAAAACCGATTAATGCAACATATTCAGTTTATTTATAACATATACAAATTGGACTTATTATGGGTATGTTGTCTACAGGAGCAGCTTTGGTGGAATTAACAAAGTTATCATGTTTCTACATAACAAATTTCTATCTATTCCGTCGAAAATAAGCACCATGTATAAGAATTTTCATATTTCACACAAAAGAAACTGCATATTTTATCTACACACAACAAACATAAAAACATGTGGTGCCTAAAAGTAGTGTGGCTGGAAAGAAGGTCATATTCTACATGACAGAATTTTTTCCCCATTTGAAGAAAGTTGCAGAGAACGATGTTGGTGTCACACAACATTTACAGCTTGTTCTAGAAATTTTTCATACTCTTGTTCTGCGAAGAATGGTAGGCGGGACTAGTAGAAGATGATCGTTGAGGGACAACTGAAAATTGTAAGCACATTTGACAGTAAAGGCCTCATTTGGGTAATCCTTCTCAACCAAAAAAACCAATGTGTCTACTAAATGATTTCTTTATAGGTGACGAAGATATCCTCATCAGAATATCAATAGACGCCCTAGATTTTCAAACAAATTTCAGATTCGAAAAATAGTTTTAGATTTTACAATAAATTTCACCATTTACCTTCTTTTGTCATAATTTCGAAGCAACGATTGGCGAATGGTCAGAAGGAAGGCACCCAATCTGAAGGTGCCGCTGTTGCACACTAACGGAGCTAACGTATCTATCTGGAATTGCCGAAATTGGAATGAAGGTGCGGCCAAATTAGAGGCGTCGACACTGTAGACTATGGCCGGATTGTGAGTGCCAAAATGGGGATTGTGTAGATGAGAACTGAGATAGCAAGAAAATTGGTGCCCAAACTTTTAATGAATTGGGGATGGAAATGGGTCTCAGTTTTCCTTCATTACTTTTCATTTGTTTTTAAACAATGAGAAACAAGGTCAAAGATTAATATGTTGCTTACATGTCATTCGGTCATTTTGCAGGTCAAAGAGTATGGTAAAGTGCATTTTCGGGAAAGATTATCTATGCTACTACACATGATTACGCTTGTCCAAAGTGAAATAATATATAAAATGGTCATTATTTTTATCATTTTCCTATGTGGAACAACTTACATATAGCTTTCCCTCCAACATAAAACCATCTTCCAATACATCAATTTTGAGCCTCAATTTTTCATTTGCGTGAGTATCAATTTTGGCAAGTATCAACGAATAGATGTCATTGAAAATTATGCCAAAAATCAGCCCATATATGCCATTTTTCCAATAGAAGAACCAAATGGAAACTGACAAACCAAATAAGCCAAGATCCTGCCACCTTGTTCAAGAAACAAAAGAAAATATCTAATCTAATTCGAACTACAGTTAAAAACCTCGGGTAAGATAAAAATTGCTGTCCTGAACAGACATTTGACGATTATGGATAAACACAAGTCAAACAAAATACGTATAAGCTGCAGTGAACCATTATTTGATTAGCAAAAGCAAAAAATGCCGTTACAAGACAAGATTCGTAGAAGTGCATTTCAAGAATATCGGAATAAAAGGATTCAAGGGAAGCTTGTAAATAAATCCCCTGAGAAAATAGCGGGCAACTTTTCTCGAGGCCAAATCTTCTGCAAAAATATGCATTAAGTGAAGATTAAGTTGCTGAAATATTTCATAAATAACAGAAGTTGCTTGGTTTTGCGAACGAGAAGAATGTTAACTGAACGCTTATAAATTTTTCAGTTAAAAGGAGAAAATACGCTAATGCTGCAATGCCAGGGAACTTTTCACAGGCCTCTCACAGATAGGTGGGTCCCATCTCATTAAAAAAAATCCAAAAAACATGGGACCCACATGTTTGTAAGAGGCCTGTATTCTTCCTGTAAAAATTTTTCCTGACACTGTAGCATCTCTCGAGAAAATATTGGCAATTTTTTAGTGGGTCTTTAGTATGTTATTTGTTAATTTATTAGTTGTTTTTTGTACTGATAGATTCCTAATTTTATGTTTAAGTTGTATTTAGTGAGGTATGAAGTTGATTAGTGAAATTAGTTATTAATTAATGTATTAGTTACTTAAATAGTGCACAAATATGTTAATGCTGTGCTGTCAATGTGAAATGTGTGCAGTCGTTGCTAGTTTCTTAAATTTTTACAAAGTGGGTGTCTTGTATAGTCGTATTACCGTTTTAGATCATCGATGACCGAAAAATATACAGTCCATTCATACTGAATCGAGAAATTATTTATTATTTTTTTGTATCACTTATAGAGGCCGTGCAAGCAGTTTCGAGTGGTGGACTGAGTGGAGTCGGGCCATTCGAACTGGATCGAGAAATTATTTACTGTTATATTGTATCATTTATAGAGGCAGTGCAAGTAGCATCGAATGGTGGGCTGAGTGGAGCCAAACCATTCTACTCGATCCATTTAACATCCAGAGATTTGGTATGTTGTAGTTTTTATGTCATTGTACAAAAATTTTCACATAGTATATATATATATACACTCAGCTCATAATTTTTCTCTAGTTTGAGAGTTTTTTATATGGAGGTGTTATTTTTCTCGTTTTAAATAAATTCTTTAAGCAAGGATCATGTGAACAAACAGAAAAAATTGTTCCATTTCCCAACATATTGATTTGCAGGATAAGTCTTGGTTTACATCATGTAACGGGTGTTGACATTCCTATGTATCCATATTATGTCTACCAAGCACAATCCTGATTTGCATTCAATATCAACTATTGATCTTAATAAAAAAGTGAATAGAAAGAAACAATTAAAATCTTCCATAAATGCCAATATTCTGCACTGAGATAAAATAATGCTTAAACCACAAGAAAGTTTTCCGAAAATAATAATATGTTAATAAACCACCATCAAATTAAACATTATCCATGGTCATAATTGAAATAGGGTTACAACTTACAATTGGCGTGTTTAAAAGTGTCACATGTAAATTAGAGGTGTGAAAAAAAAAAAACAAATTGACCAAACGTATCAAATCAAATCGAGTTGGTTTGAACCAAAAAATCGGTATGGCTGATTAATTTTAATCATTAAAAAGTCGGGTCAGATTGGTTTTGATTTAAGCAGCCAACCCATCAATTAACCGAACTAACCTGCTAATATGTATTTTTTTTCATTTTAAAATTTATCTTTTTAAACTTAAAAAATATGTAATTTTTTCTCCAATAATT